TCTAAATTCAATATGGAATTATATATAGGTCATTATATATATATTACGTTGCCTGATGCTTAAATTAGCCCGTTGGAAGAAGGGCCAGGCTGTTAATTAAATGGCGATATTTAGTTGAACGCTTAGACCGATCGTTCATCATCCAACGTTTAACTAGTTGGCTGGTCGTTAAAAGTTTACCCATTGAAAACGGCTGACCCGAATGCCGCATGTCCGTGATTCGACCGATAATAATAATTAACAAGTCGCGGACATTTATACATGCATACAATAGTTTATGTCCTCAGGGGTAACAACGCATCTGTTCATTTGTCACCCTTATTCTATAAAAAGAAAGTTTAGTGCCGGTTTCTAATTCTTTATTTGTATAGAATAAGGGTGACAAACGAACACACATCCACTTCATGGTAAATGTATGCTGTGACCCACAGAGATACGTCTGGTACTGGTAACACCACAAAACACTTTGTTTTGTGGCATTCCTTGAGAGAGGTCTGTGTTCAGCAGTGGATTTATCAAGGACTGTAATCAGTATGATGACGTGAATATTAAATGCTGAATAGAAGTAGTTTTATGAATTAAATTATTTTAAATTTAAAATTATTTTGATAACCTTACTTTCCGTGTGCCCACGTGGTACATGATTGCTTCAAAGCACCTGCTTGAAATATAAGCATTTAAAAATAAGCTTTACAATAAAATCAGATAAGTTCCTTTTATTTAAAGCTTTTAAATTAGTCATTTCAGAGAAAACTTCGTGAATCTTCATATCCTCATCATCATCCATCGCAAGTCCTTTGCTCAACTAAGGTCTCCCCTATAAATACCGTGAAACACTCATCATCAATCATCATTACAGCCTTTCATAAGTCCACTGCTGCACATAGGCCTCCCCTAAGGAATACCATAAAGCACGGTCCTGAGCCACCTGCATCCATCGACCAGGTCGTCACTCCATCTCGTGGGGGGTCGCTCTATACTTCGCCTACCGGTACGAGGTTGCCACTCGAGAACCTTTCTTCCCCATCGGTTGTCGGTTCTTCGAGCTATATGGCCGGCCCACTGCCACTTCAGCTTACTAATCCGTTGGGCTATGTCGGTTATTCTGGTTCTACTGCGGATATCCTCATTCCTAAGTTTATCACGCAGAGGAACTCCGAGCATAGCCTCCTCCATAGCTCGCTGAGCGACCTTGAGCTTCCTCATACGGCCAGCAGTGAAGGACTATGTCTCAGTTCCGTAAGTCAGTAGTGCTCCCAACAAGTACCGGCATAGGTGTGTCATGGACATTAAACATAATCTTTGTTTTGTCCATGTTCATCTTAAGACCTATCCATTGGGAAACACTATTGAGAACATTGAGCATAGTGCTTAGGTCCTCCAGCGATTCTGCCAGAAGGACTGTATCGTCGGCAAATCGAAGGTGAGTGATGTACTCGCCATTGATGTTAATACCGTATCCTTTCCAGTCCAGAAGCTTGAAAACATCTTCCAATGCAGCGGTGAAGAGTTTCGGGGATATAACACCACCCTGTCTTACACCTCTCTGCAATTGGATAGGTTTCGTACTCTGGTTCTGTACTCGGATAGCCATCGTAGCTCTACTGTACAAACACTTCAGCACTTCGATATACCAACAGTCTACTTGGCACCACAGAAGGGACTGCAGTGCCGCCCAAATTTCGACGGATACGCCAGACATTTGTACTCTTCGGACTTTTGTACAATTTGCCGAAGGGTATCTATGTGGTCTATGGTGCTAAAGGCCTTTTGGAAACCGGCTTGTTCGGGAGGCTGGAAGTCGTCAAGTCTGCGCGCGAGACGATTCGTAATAACTCTTGAAAACAGCACTTAGACGCGGCTTAGAAGGGAAATCGGTCTGTAGTTCTTCAAGAGAGCGTTGTCACCTTTCTTAAAGAATAAGACCACCGCACTTCTGCTCCATGCCTCCGGTGTAATGCCACCATGGAGGACGGAATTGAAGAGCTTCTGAAGGACTTCAAGTACCGGTTTTCCACCCGCTTTCAGAAGCTCGGCTGTAATTCCATCCTTGCCTGGGGCCTTGCCGTTTTTAAGGTGCTGGAGAGCCATTCTTATCTCGCTCAGACTGACGTCCGGGATATCTTCGGAATAGTGTCGGATAAGACTCGCATTTGGATCGTTACTCACACTTGCGTGTGGCTCCAACGATGACGTGTACAGCTGCTCATAGAACCTCTCAATCTCACTCAAAATCTCAGGTGTCCTGGAAACGATGCTGTCACATTCTATCTTCAGCTTTGACAGTTGGCTCTTTCTGGCACACAGATCTCTGGCAAAGACTTTGGAGCCTTGGTTCCGCTCGATCGCTTCTTCAATACAAGCTGTATTGAAGTTGCTTAAGTCCCGCCGCATGCATTTGGAGATCTGTCTGTTCAGTTGCCTGTATGCTGTCAAATCTGTTGAAGAATGTAGCTTCATCTCCCGTCTAACAGCCATGAGATTAAGAGTGTGATCGGAGAGTTTTTGTGTTCTTCTGCAGTGGGGCTTGCAGAACTTAGCTTTGACCGCATGGACAGTTTCCAAGAGCTTGTCATTCATATCGTCCACTTCATTGCAGATTTCTAGGCACTGAAAATGGTTTTGTGAGTCGAGCTGAAAGGTTTCAGGACTTTGGAACAGGACTTTGGATTAAAGCACGAGGGGGACGGAGCGTTGACTTCTTTAGACGAGACCTCTCCAACTTAACGTTTAGGTTCAGTGTACCTCTAACCATTCGGTGATCGCTACCAGTTTTCACCCTCACGATCACGGAGACATCCCTGAACAGTTGTCGTCTGGTCGTCATAATGAAGTCAATTTCCTCTTTTGTTGAACCGTCGGGGCTCGAACAGACCCACTTCCTGTCGGGCCGCTTCTGGAAGTCCCTCTTTCTCCATGAAGTCGGCCAGCTGCTGGCCCCGTGGGTTCCGTTGCCCTATTCCAAATTTCCCTACTTTCAGCTCACCGTTCTCTCTTGTGTCTAGTTTTGCATTGAAGTCTCCCATTAACACCGTATATTGGGTTTTGGATGAATGCATGGCTCTAGAGATATCCTCATACATTTCTTCTACCTCCTCATCGGGGTGTGCCGAGGATGGTGCGTAACCCTGTACGACCTTCAGCGAATACCGTTTGGTGATTCTGAGTATAAGCTACGCAACCCTCGACGACACACTCTCGATCTTTACAACGTTGTTAACGAGAGACTTGTGGACGATAAATCCGACACCTCCTTGGGACAGATGGTCGCCCTCGCGGTGATAGAGCAAGTTGCCGGATTCGAGGATTACCGTATCCTCTCCCTCTCTTCGGACTTCGGATAATCCTACAATATGCCAGCGCAACTTGTCTATTTCTTCTTCCAGCTCCACGATCTTCTCGTCAGTCCTCAGGGTGCGTGCGTTGTACGTTGCCAGGTCGAGTCGTCTAAGGTGGCAACCGAATCTCCACCGGAGATTCTTAGCACCCCCTGCCCCGCCGTTACCATGGTCGCCACCGTAGCCAGGAATAGCGGGGCCGCCGGGGACTGGGGGCCGTCTGTTTGTTGCTTTAATCATTGGGGGTATTTGCCATAGTTCTACGCTCGGCGAGCGGGTTGGCAACCGCAGTTTTTTTATTGTAATTTTGGTTATTATCAAGAAGATGCTGCTGCCCATCTCCTGCCTGTTTCCCTTTGTCGCCTTTTACGACATCCACGGGAGGATATGGGGTAGTGGATATTCTTGACCGCCACTACACGGCAAATATTCGGAGTATATTTTACCCATAGCTTATTGATCTGCTATATTGATAACTCTGGTTCTATAGCGAATATCCTCATTCTGATATCTATCACGCAGAGAAGCTCCGAGCATAGCCCTATGCATAGCTCGCCGAACGACTTTGAGCTCCCTCATACGGCAAAATTTATCAATCTTCGCATCTAAGAAGTAAATTTTATGATAATAACTTAAATTAATTTGTCTGATTAATATTAACCTTTTAATCTCGAAGAAAAATTTTTGGTTCCAATTTAACAGATTTGGTTACAAGTAAATGAACGTAACTTGAGTTCATTGTTTGTTTTAAGGTAACTCAGTTGTTGTAGTTAATTAGATTTTGCCCACAGCAACGTTTGCCTGGAGTCAGATTGGAAATATAACTTCCAGACCCAGGTTCAGGGGTAAAAACCGAACAACAGGGTTGACTAACCTAGCTGAAATTTACAAGAACGCGCCGTAAGATATGCGTTACTTGGCTATCTTACAAAATCCTGGACGTGGTAAGGCTTCTGTCAAGCGGCGTTAACCAAGTTAACTTTCTACTATTGTTAATTTATTAATTATAGTCGGTTATAATTAGGATTCCAAGCTTACGAGGCGTATATCAAACGTAGTTTCGAGTCAAACTCAATTATTAAATCTTTAATATTGTCTACCCAGGTTTTTGACATATTCAAGAACTTTTAAACGAATATTACGATTTACGAGTATAAAAGTAAACAAACAAACAAATGGTTTTTACACTATACTTTTCGGAGATTGTATGCAGGAATAGCATAACTTAATACCTACTCTTTTTCTGTTAAATGATGGCACAACCAGGCGCTCGGGTGGTCTTCGTCTTTTATTGTCGACATAACACGCGTTCGAACCAAAGTGTTTGCTTCGGCGATCGTAACGAGTACGCGTTACGTAAGTATGACAGGGTGAGATATTGTGTGATAAAAGAAAAATGTGATTTGCGAAATATATTGTGACTAGGATTAAGGAAGTAATGTTTCGGTGGTTTAGCCATGTAGAAAGAAGAAATAAAAAAGAGGGACCATATAACCACGTCAACTTTATATTGCTGCCCTAAGGTTGACTGGCAGAGAATTGTTGTAGCATTAGGTCAGTCTTTTGTTGGTATACATTGTGTAGGATTATAATAAAATATAAATAAACAAACTAACGCTTTCCTGTATCGGTAATGTTTTTAAGTCATTTGTTTTTTTACAGAGGAGGAAGGAACAGAGCTGGAGCTGGAAGCTCTATACAGAAGATACTGCGTCAGATTGAAACATTCTCTCTTCGTGTCGGCGTTATGCGTGACGTTGCTCTGTTGTGCTGCATTACTCTGTGCTGTTTGTGTACTGCATTCGCATGTAAGTAGACCGTTCTTTTTAATATGTATTTTATTCCATATGGATGCTCTGGAAAATGCCAGGAAATGTTATTGCTTCCGATAGATGGCGGTAAACCATCTTGTTTTCGATCAGCGTCAATTTGTGTGAGACATCTAGTGCTGCGATCGGCAATGCGCCTGCCTAGCTTGACGATTAAGGTAAACTTCCTTAAAACGCGCATATCCAGCTGTGAACTTCTATAGGTTGATGAAGAAGTATGGATTGCACGATTGGATTAACAACAGTGGAGCTCGATCAATCAATTATAATCGATTTTTTTACCTTTGTTATTGTAGACCATATATCTTAACAGTCCCTTAGAAAAAGTATTATAAATAAAAGATTTACGCATACTTTACGATTCAAATCTGAACTTTAATGCTCATATCAGCCATAAATCAATTAAAGCATGTCAAAGGTACGGAATCGTTGCACGAATATGTAACTATTTTAAATGTATAACTAATCCGCTTCTTACTTACTACTTTTAAAATCACTTATCAGACCACAAACTCAAAGTATGAAATTCCTATTATAATTAATTAATAGTAGCATGGGTTATTTTAGGTAATTAGATTGTAAGAAAATTGAGGCAACTCTCGTGGTCCCACACAGTGTGTTCTATTACTGCCACTAGGGTTATTACCTTAATTGCACCAAATAAGAAAATTTACCTTAATAACCTAAAAAAATATAACCTGAGATTACTTGCTATTTTTCAACGTGTATAGTTTTATTTGCTTTTAGCAACTTCTAATAAATACTTGTTCCTAGTAAACACCTTAACAGCATTTTGTAATTCATTATAAACTAGGAGCTTATTTAAAAATGAGTAAAATTCTATAAAGTATACAGTTTTATTTGCATGAACAATTCGAAATTCGAATTCAATAAACTTTCTTGTGGCCAGCATTCTAAAAGAAAAGTTTTAACTGTGTGACAATACTTATGACCTGACTAGGTATATACGTAACGGATTTTATTTCTCGATCGACGGAGCCGCTGCCTTGCGCGTTTTGTTGGCGTGACTCCCATAAATTAAAAATATCATTTCCTATCTATTAATTACCTGTTCTCCGCAACTTCGCCCGCGTGTAATTTATTACGATTGGATTTCATGGGCTTTAATGTTTTCTAAATTAAAAGTAGCCTAAGTACCTCCTTATAATATCAGCTATCTGCCACTGAAAGTCTCGTCAAAATCGGTTCAGCCGATTCGGATATTAGCCGGAACAAACAAACAGACAGACAGACAGAAAGACAGACAAAAATATTAAAAATTGTATTTTGTTATAATTACCGGGTAGTATCTTGAGGATCATCAGCTTGTTTGTGGCCTTCAAAATAGTTTAGGTTGGGGTTCCTCAGATGGTAATCTTTTGGTCCATTTCACTTATAGATTGGTGGAGGCGGTAGAGTCCAAGCGGGGAGGCCCTGACTGTTAGTTTGGACATAGCCAAGGCCGTCGATCTGATTTGTCAAAAAGCGGGGTTTCCTGTGGGCTTCTCGTAAATTGTGCAATCGGATCACCAGTTTTCTTGCAGATCACAGGATTAAGGTTGTAGCAGACCGTGCATGCTCCGACTACAAGGCTGCGTGCTATCACCTACGCTATTCCTTCTGCACGTCAGTTATATATTGCAAACCAGTTACATTCATTACTATGCGGACAGCACTGGTGATGCTTTATACACCGGCCGTGCCAATATTTCTCGGGAATACTTCGTTGAGTACCGGACACAACTTGTGTCTGAAGTTGAGTCTTTATAAACATAGCGTCGGATTGGGGACGACTAAATTTTGTCCAGTTTAACCCTCAGAAGACATAGGTTTGCGCGTTTACCACTGAAAGAAACCATTTGTCGTTTCTCGTCAATATGACATAATATAATATAATAGAATAGAATAAAATAAAACAGAATATAATACTTTTTTTATTTAATATAGGTTACACGCAATTATTAATGAAAATATTTTTTTTACTTTTACCACTGTTTTGGTAAAAAACAGGGCACTCCCCTTACTTCTTCATTCGGCATCGGAATCCTTGACATTGACATTACTATTGACATATCTACAGTTTCGTGGTCACTTGGAAGGGAAGGCTAAACTGGCCTCTAATAAGCTCGGCATGCTCAGCTAAGTGCAATAGTATTTCATGCCGGTACACCACTTGCAACTTTACATGGTGCAGGGGTTTGGCCTCACATGGAATACTGTTCTCATTTCTGGGTCGTAACACCCTAGTGCCATCTCCTTCCACCCTAAGAGTTCCTCATTTTCAAGAGAAGATATAAAAATAATTCAAAAATTAAACTCGAAAGGAGATCGAAAATTATGCGTTTATTATATATACCCTTTATCAGAACCCGTCCTAGCGGAATAACGTTTCATAGGAAAGAAATCTCGTTTCCTAATTCCTAATATTAAAAAATACAAGTTTTATTACATAATTTAAATAAAAATTAATACTTAACTACAAAATCATAATATAATACTTGCTAGAAATTGCATCGCATTGTGTGTGGACTTAAATTTTCTTTGTTAGCTTTCCCATATAATCAATTAACAAAATATCTATATAGATCACCTTTAACATGCTGTAGTTAGTGAAAAAACTCGAAAGTATACCTCGGAAATAGATTTTAATATTCATTGTCTTTTTAAGTTGTCGAATCCAAAGCAGGAAGCGCCTAATCATAAAAACAACCCTGAGAATTAAAAAAAGAAATCAAGTATCTGAAATCGCTATTTCGCAGTATACATCGGAATAAGGAACCTAGGTGTAATATTTGGAAATTAATGCCGCGGTATTTTTAAGACGTATTTGCACCTAGATTTATTCAGAAAAACATAAAAAAGTTAAAAGATTTTTAAACGAAATATACTCCTCGAAATAGTTTCACTCTAAAAATTACACACATGGTACAAAAATAACAAAAAAAATTCACTATTAAAAAAACATGGTACTCACGTGCACGACTTCCAAAATGTATGAAACAGGGGTTCAGATTAGCTGCTGCCGCAAAACTAACCAATTATTTTAAAGCGTATACACATTACCCCAGGTCTTTGATGATATGACTACGTAAAGTTACATTATAAATTAAATAAGAGATCTTGCAGTAAAAAAAAGTATGTGTAAATGCAGTTTTTCTAAATACTTCGGAATATGGTGCCAGTTTTAGAACCCCTTGGAATAAGGTGCCTTTAACATAGATTGTTCTTTTCCAATTTTGTTTAGTGTTTCTTTAAACGGTTTATTTGTTCGTAACTCGTTCATTTATAGTAAACAATAAAATAAAACCTCAATAATTGCCAAAATAGGTAAATAAAGAATTTTATGTACATGTTCCTAATATGAAGAATAAATAACGTTTGCCCGAAATAACATACAACACTTTATTATAAAGAACGGGTGACAACCCTAAGTGCCACCCCGATAACCTTTAACCTCTAGCCTCGTATCTTAGATATATACATACCTTCGCCAATAATCAAAGCACGTGTCAATGTCTCTACGCCGAGGTGTTGGCGTTTATTTGTTTAGCCCTCCGCAGTCTTGATCTATGACATATTATAACATAGAGTTGGCAAACATTCAAAAGGCAAATCTTTACAAAGGTATAATATTTGTTTTGGTACGACTTTCCATTGACGTCCGTCGAGTTGGGGGTTGATATCATAACAAACCGAAGCTGCAGGGGCGAGGAGGGATGCCTGCGATTTGTTACGCAAAGGCGTAGAGACACGCAGCGCCGGAGACGTTGCAGTCTCAAAATAGATACAGAAATCCCTCTGAATCAGTCACGCTATTTTTTTCTGATGAAGGGGGTGCCCCCTTCCATAGGGGGTCTTCTTGGTTTTTTACACTTAATATTAATCCATAAAATGAGGAAAATTTCCACAGAAGTAAATATGATAGAAAAGGAAACCGAACTCCGAAAATTTCCTTTTTAATGGAAAGTGGTAGTACACCTTCCCTCCACCCCTCCCCCCTTAATTTGACGAATGTCCATGGAAATTCGTATTAAAATAATACGGTTATTTAAATCGCCGTGTAGTGGCAGTCAAGAATATCCACTACTCCATATCTTCCCGTGGGTGTCGTAAAAGGCGACAAAGGGAAACAGGCAGGAGATGGGCAGCAGCATCTTCCTGATAGTAGCCAAAATTACAATTAAAAAAAACTGCGGTTGCCAACCTACTCGCCAAGCGTGGCAACTATGGCAAATACTCCCCTATGAAGAGAGTAACAAAGAGACGGCCCCCAATCCCCGGCGGCCCCGCTATTCCTGGCTACGGTGGCGACCATGGTAACGGCGAGGCAGGGGGTGCTAAGAATCTCCGGTGGAGGTTCGGTTGCCACCTTAGACGACTCGACCTGGCAACGTACAACGCACGCACCCTGAGGACTGACGAGAAGATCGTGGAGCTGGAAGAAGAGATGGACAAGTTACGCTGGCATATTATAGGATTATCTGAAGTCCGAAGAGAGGGGGAGGACACGGTAATCCTCGAATCCGGCAACTTGCTCTATCACCGGGAGGGCGACCATCTGTCCCAAGGAGGAGTCGGATTTATCGTCCACAAGTCTCTCGTTAACAACGTTGTAAAGATCGAGAGTGTGTAGACGAGGGTTGCGTACCTTATACTCAGAATCACCAAACGATATTCGCTGAAGGTCGTACAGGTTTACGCACCAACCTCGGCACACCCCGATGAGGAGGTGGAGGAAATGTATGAGGATATCTCTAGAGCCATGCATTCCTCCAAAACCCAATATACGGTGTTAATGGGAGACTTCAATGCAAAAGTAAGCACAAGAGAGAACGGTGAGCTGAAAGTAGGGAAATTTGGAATAGGGCAACGGAACCCAAGGGGCCAGCAGCTGTCCGACTTCATGGAGAAAGAGGGACTCTTTATGATGAACTCTTTCTTCCAGAAGCGGCCCCACAGGAAGTGGACCTGGTCAAGGA